CAAATTTTTGCATCAATCATAATGTTTCAAAAATTTATGATAAATTTCTTTTCTTGATTCTTTAACAATGAAAAAAAAAAACAATGAGATAATATTGAGAAACATATCCTTTGTTAAAATCTTAGAGAGGAAAAAAATTAAAAATCTATTATATTATAATATTCTTCACCATCTGTGAACTTTATTGTCACAAAGTCATTATACAAATATACATTATGTATTACAAAGTTTTTTATTTTTTTAATTATTTAAATAATCAAAATTTATAATATAGGATCAATATTTATGAGAATTTAAACGCCAGTAATAAAAAATGTAGTAATTAGAAAAGACTTTTGTTTCTAGATGTTGATACTCATATTTCTCTAAAAAAATCAGACTTCTTTTTCCTCATTCTCTTACTATTGTTTTATTTGTTTCTTATTGTATTCACAAATAATATTTTATTTGTTAAAAGAATTTTGGCATATTTATATGTATTGTTTAATTTTTTTACGCATTTTATATAATTATGTTGTTACCAAAGTATCTTATTTATTAGGCTACAACTATAATCACATACGATAAAATATAATTTAATATTACTTATTTATTTATTTATAATAATATATATTTTATAAAATTATACTTTTATGCTGTTTATTAAAAAATTTACATTTTTTTTTCAATGTTTGATGAAACATTATGTAACTTACTCATTTTCATATTATATCCATTGAAAGTATATGTTGCAAAGATTATGGTGTTCCCTTTCAAAAAGTATTGAATAATAGTTTAGCATACTACTCATTTATTTCTCTTTTTAATTCACATAATTAAAATTGACAATCGTTGTAAGTTTACATTTATTTTTTTATTTTTTTCGTAGTATAAATATTTCAAATCTATGTAAGAAAAATATACCACACGTTATCTTATGTTATTTTATACTTAATAATATTTATTTAACATGGATTTATAATCTATTTTATGAGATGCTTTTAGGTATATTTATTATTTTAAATTGATATTTATATGTATATATATATATATATATATATTATTCTATATCGTTAGAAATAATTATAATATTTTTATTTTATTTACAATAGACTGTCAAATCAAACATCATTGGAAAGAAATGGTGTGATATATTACATATTAAAGGATAATAAATAAAAAAATATTAAGTATTTCCAAAGTGAAAAATTTAATGTTAGATAGTAATGAAATTTTAATTAAAAAACTAATACTAATATCCCTATTTGAATGAAAAAAAGAAAAAAATTGTGTAATTAAAAGTTCTAGTTCAAATAAATGTGCATCTTAGGTGTGTTTTATATTTCTCATTAATTAGCTCCAACTGATGGATGACATTAACGAATTTTATCACTTTTTGTACTTTTGGATTGAATGCGAACTATAAGCTTGAGCATTGTAAAGTTTAATTTTCTATTACATAGAACATCATTCTTAACTCTTGTTTAGTTATTATAATACTAATAAAATAGGTAAGAACATTTAACCTAGATGTATCTTGTTACTGATTATAATAAAGTAAAGTATAATTACATTTCATGTGTTATATATTCAATCATTATCAACAATTTTCATAATAATTAATTGCACACTTGAAAAAAAATATTGCACACAATAGTATATATAACGCAAATGGAGAAATACCTTTGCTACAAAAAAAATGATGAAATTCCAACGATATTCTCGAGAAAAATGTATTACAATCGAATTTTAACGACAGTTCTAACGAATATGTAAATGTTATTCCTTTCATTTGAATTATTTCAATGAAAATCATAACAAGCAAATGGAGAAATACCTTTGCTACAAAAAAAATGATGAAATTCCAACGATATTCTCGACAAAAATGTATTACAATCGAATTTTAACGACATTTCTAACGAATATGTAAATGTTATTCCTTTCATTTGAATTATTTCAATGAAAATCATAACAAAAATATTTTGTTGGATTCATGGGCAGATCCATTTTTTTTAACACGGTCGACACATTTGCCACTTCCCAAAACATATAGCATAATGTATATAATAAAAATTGTAGGAACATTTTTCATAATTTTAATCATACCCCCTATTCTGAAAATAAAATTAAAAGAAAGAAAGATAAATAATGAATTAATTTGATACTCGACCAATTTTACTTCAATTCAGCTCATAACTATATTATAATTATAACATAAACACAGTTTTACAACTAAAGAAAATAGGATAAATCTAGAAATTATAATTTCACCCTTTTAATTTTATTTTTTTTAATCTTGATGATAGCTTTTATTCTCACTTTTGCAACATAGTTTTTTCTCTGACTTTTTTCATGTCTTTTTTAACTGATGTATGTAGAATTATAGGTTATATTTTATTAATTATATTGTCGAGTCAACTATACCACAACATAAATTTTTTGCTCATAAAAATTTTTAAAAATATTATTTTCAATGATTTTATTATGGGGAAGAAAAATTATGCTTTTCTTATGTTAATTTATTTTAACTTATCGTGACTGTATTCATGTATTAAAAATTTATCACATGTGAGAAATATGACATTATAAAAATTGTAATTTTATAAATTATAAAACCATTATGTTATTTTGATGGTATATGCCCCCTGTAAGAAATTATTTTGGATCCGCCACTGCAATTAGCTTTCCAATGAAACTTCCTTTGAATTTTTTACAATTCCAATGGCTATGTTTTCCAACGGTTGAAATATTTTTCAAGAAAGATTCCAATGAAAAATTCAACAATAAATAATTGTAATTGGATCAGTCAAATTCTAATGTAATATAATATTATCTCTGTTGGAATAGCCAATGAAAATTTTCAATTAAAGATATACCAATGAAATATCCGTTGAAATTTTCAGTGGAATACCTTACGGTTTTTTTTTTTTTTTTATTGTATTCGTTCTTAAACATTAAATTTTTATATGGTATCTTTTGTTATTAATTAATTATCTTTACAATTTTGCTATTAAAAATATATTAAACACATGGCTTTTTAGTCCATGTAAATGTTTTTAGAAACCACTCATTATTTTAATCAAGATTACCTATTAATTTCTTAATTGAGTTATATTTCTTACATATTAAATGTTAAATAATGAAAATATATACTATTGTATAAATGTAATATGATATTTGGTTATTATATTTAAAAAACTAATAGCAGATAAAAAAGTTATTTAAAATTAGAACAATCAATTTTTTTTTTTTAATTTTAAAAGTTCCAACCTAAATGGATAAAAATACAAATAACTATTATCTGTCGCCTAAACCTTACACATAGAATTAATTATCACAAAACATTAACAAATGTTTACAACTCAACTCGTTTATATTGATAAATACAAGTTTTAATAATTTTATATTTATTTTAATCAGTTATAACACTTTTAATATTATTTATGGAATTTAATATTTTTTTTACTTTACATTGTTCCACATAAAGTTTTTGTTCAAAAAAAATTCTAAAAAGTACATTGTTTTCAATGATTTTCTTAATTATATTGAATTAATAAAAATCATTTTTTTTAAAATATTTTCTAACTTATATGTGTTAAAAATATATTAAAGATGAGAAAGATGACAAAGTATGAAAAGTATATTTTATAAATTGTAGTGCATTATGTTATTTTGATGGTATACTTTTTCTATTAACTAAATAGTGCCCCCAATATGAAATTATTTTGTATCCTCCACTGCAATTAGCTTTCCATAAACTCATATTGAATTTTTTAAAATTCCATTGACAATTTTCCAACAGTTGAAATATGGTCCGAAAACAAATTCTAACTGAAATTCACACAATAATAAATAATGGTAATTAAAATCATTAAATCAATAAAAAATTCAATGTAATTTAATTTGATCTCTATTGAAATAGACAATGAAATTTTGCAATGAACTCTACACCAATGAAATATTCATTGCAATTTTCAGTGGAATACCTACATTTTTTATATTAAAAATATATTTAACACATGAACTTTTTAGTCCATATATTTTTTTAAAATCACTCATTATTTTATCTCAAAATTACCTATTAATTTTTCAATTGAGTTAAATTTCTTAATATTAAATAATAAAAATAAATATTATTTGAGTGTGTTTTTTGTGGGATAAAAATTCAATTCAATAAATAAAAGGTGCAATTTCTAAATGTAAGAGTGTATCTTTCTTAATAGGAAGTAGCTAAATGAATTGATCCACTTTTTTAGTTGTTAGATTATGTATATATTCACTATACCAATGAATATTCGTTGCGATTTTCAGTGGAATGTCTGACGTTGTATTTTTTATTGCAATATAGCAATTTTTTTAAAACTTAATTTCATGTAGTAGTTTTTTTTATTAATTAAAGTAATTACGATTTTACATTAAAATTATATTAAAAATAAATTGTTTTTCAAAATATGAATTATGTATCTTTTCAAAGCTTTGTTTTATGAGTTGATTTTTTGGAGATATGAAAGAAGCATTTTGATAGATATGTGAAAGAAACAAAATCGTGAGGAATAATGTATAAGAATGTTGATGTTGATTTTTAGGAGATCTAGAATGTTTTGTTCGTGTATCTATATTTACTTAACTAAATATTAATTATTGATTAAAAATATAAGATATAATGAGTATTAATGCATTACTAATTTGCCATTAAAAATAAGTCAAAGTAAGAGTTTTTTAAGTAGTTCATTTGTTAATTAAAAATATAAAATAAGATGGATATTACAATATTACTAATTTGCGATTAAAAATATGTCAAAGTAAGGATTTTTAAGTAGATCATTATTTTTACAAAATCACTCGTTCTTTTAAAATAAGAAAATAAGATGGATATTACAGTATTACTAATTTGCCATTAAAAATATGTCAAATTAAGGGTTTTTTAGGCAAAGCATTATTTTTACAAAATCACTCGTTTTTTTTATAATAGTATAGATATAGATAGATAGATAGATAGATAGATAGATATAGATTATAGATTACAGATAGAATAGATAGATATGCACAAGAAAAGCACCCAATTTGTGGAATGCTAAAAGGAAATTCAAGATGTGTCGTATTTCTCAGAGCATGGAAAAATCTCCTAAATCTATTACTCATATACAATAATTGGAAATTAATTATCTCGACTTGCAAGGTACAGGGACTTGTATAGCACACCGAGTATTAGTTTCCGGAAGCCAACAACAAAGGTCACATTACAATTCAGTCTTGCTTGTTATACGATAGCACTTAGCTCTAATCACACCTCACAAACCAGCAGCGCTTAAAAGAGAAAGTAATTCCGTGACAATGGGACTGTATTAGCAGGCGGGCAGGTAAGAACCGTGCCATCTGCTGTCACAGTGTAGGTCTCAGGGTCGACCGTGATTTGTGGGAGGGCATCATTAAGCTTCATGTCAAGCTTTGTCAGCTTCCTCACGTTACTTACAGCTTTAACCCTCTTGTTCAGTCCATATTGCTCTTTTACTCCAGAACTAAGGGCAACCTGTAGAAATTATATATGAAAGCATCAAAACAAAAGTAAAGAATTAAAGCTAAAATAGTAGCGATGTATACCTCACTGACAAATGCAATTGAATTGGCACTCGCAGCTTTGCCAAATGCTCCAAACATGGGCCTCATTGTTACCTGTTGGTCAAACACTCTGGATTAATTTGGAATCTCACAAGGAATGTACTTGATTTGCAATATCTTAAGTCCTTTGCTGTCAAACAAAAATTAAATCTAATACCATTCTCAATTTTATTCTTTTACTGAAACAGGCCGTCTAATACCATTCTCAATTTTATATTTCAATTATCAGAAATACCGGTTCTGGAGTTGGGATGCTCGCATTCGGATCACCCATATTAGACCAAGCTATAGTGCCTCCTTTTAACACCATTTCTGGTTTGGCTCCAAAAAATGACGGCTTCCATAAAACAAGATCAGCCAACTTGCCTACCTGCATAGACTCATACCACTTAACTATTTACATATATTTCCATGTCCAGTCCACTGGAGATATCTGTTCTGGAATCAACACCTTTTTGGAATTCTCCAGAGAAGATAATCACTTAACATGATCCACAAGAATACATTTTATCTTCAATGAAGATGGTCAAATTTTCTCAGGATGCAACGATAAAGGCTAATGTTATTTTACCTCAACAGATCCAACATGATCAGAAAATCCACAAGCTATAGCGGGATTAATTGTGTACTTCGCGATGTAACGCTTGATACGCAAATTATCATTTTCTGGTGAACTGTTTTCAAGTGGACCTCTCACTGACTTCATTTTGTGGGCAGTTTGCCAAGTTCTGGAAATTACCTGTCGAAAATGAAATGCTTATAATGTCGGTAAAAATACCAAATATTAAATGCTTCATATCATCGCAATATAAATATTCGATATTCAGAAAAGTAATTGATTTCAATGATTCTGTGGTTACTCAGATGCTACATTTGCTGCACAAGCAAGAAGACCCTCTACTCTAAGTCCTCTTAGCCTTTCAAACTCTTCAGTAAAGACTAAAAGAAACTACAAATTTGTGGATGAGGAAATCTACCAGGAAAAACAAATGCAGGCATATATTATCATTCTGTTATAGAGTTCTACACAAGAACAAAAAAAAAAAAAAAAAAAAAAAAAAAAAAAAAAAATATGGAACATTAAATTCATCTTTTGAAATTTAACATAAAAGTTAGAATCAGGAACCATGAGTCACACATCACATTTGTAAGGTGATATTATTTGGGGGCATCTTTTAAGAAGACCACCCAAACTACAACAGCGGCGCAGAGTGGTTTGTCTCACAATGATCGTATTTGGGGATGAGAGGTTTGACCCATCAAATCCTCTAATTAGGATGTTTGATAGAATTGCTGTTTTAATGAGTTTTTTGGATACAAAAAGCTAATTTTGAAAAAGTTGAATAGATGAGCTTTTTAAAATTAACGGATTGAACGTTCAATCCGCTTTCCTATACTATTATAAAGGAGGAGTGATGTTGTAAAAAAATAAACGGACTAAAAAGTCCTTACATTTTTTATTTTCTAATGGCAAAATTGTAATTATGATTAATTATGCCTACAAAATAGGATTAACCCACCATGAAACTCAAATCATCTAAATACACGATTTCAAAACCTATACTATTTCCTTTCATCAATAATCAAAATTGGTCCACGTAGAAAAATAAATATTTTAATTAAATGCAACCAAATCATTATCACAATAAAGGGCCGCGCGAATATAGACAAATAAATATTTGATTTTAAATACAATAAAATCAGATTTTTGTGGAAGAAATGGCATAAATGCTTAGGCCATGCTTGACAGTAAGATTGAGAGGTGTTTGCATTCTTGTGATGCATGTTTTAAGTCCAAACAACACAGGCTTCCTTCTCCAAGCAGTACCGTACCATACACAAAGAGAGTTGTCTTGAGTTGCTACATATGGACATATGGGAACTCTGCAGAGAAAAGGTTGTTACACACACACCTTACTTTCTCACTATAGTGGATGACTATAGTAGAGGGACTTGGGTGTTTGTGATGATGCATAAATCACAAGTTGGAAAGTTGGTGAGGGGATTTATAAGCATGGCAGAAACACAATTTGGATACAACGCCAAGAGGGTCAAATCAAACAATGGAAAAGAATTACATGAGTTTCTTGGTTTAAAGGGAATATTGTATGAGACTAGCTGTGTTTATTCGCTACAACAAAATGGTGTAGTGGAAAGGAAACACAGACCTTTGTTGGAAGTAGCAAGAGCTTTGATACATCAAGCTCGTTTACCTTTAAAGTTTTGGCCCTTTGTCATACTCACAGCAGCGTACATCATCAATAGAGTTCCCACTTCACTATTAGGATGGAAAACTCCATTTGAGATACTGTGCAGGAAAGGACCAGAGTACCATAGAATGAAGCCTTCTGAATGCTCGGCTTATGCAGTAAATACAAACCATAGAAAATCAAGATTTGATCACAGAGGATGCAAATGCATATTTTTGGGATATGTGACAGGAAAGAAAGGATACAATCTATTATTTGGACACAAAGAGGGTGTTTATTGGTAGAGATGTGATCTTTTAAGAAGATGTGTTTCCTTTTGCAGAGATATCATATGAGAAGACTGTTTGCGGCCAACCACTACAATGAGAATTGAAAACTCTAATGAAGAATCTTTGCCTGAGAATGTGACATCACCTTTCCCTACATGAGGAGGAGCATAGGTTGAGAAGGAGTCGCAGGATCATACAGCCACCAAGATGGCATAATGACTGTGTGCAATAGTGTTACTGAACATGTTGAGGATGAGGATAAAGGGACTGATTTTGCAAGTTTTGTGAAAAATGCCTATGTGGAAAAGAAGCCAACATACTATGGACAAGCCAGCCTGGGTTAATGCCATGAAGAAAAGAACTTTAAGCATTAGAGCAGAATCGAACTTGGGAACTTCCTGTTGGTAAGAAAGTCAAAGGGTCAAAATGGGTGTTTAAGATAAAGAGGAAGGCAGATGCAACAGTTGAGAGGTTCAAAGAAAGATTAGTTGCCAAGGGGTACAATTAAGTGGAAGAAATAGACTTCTTTGACATCTTCTCTGCTGGTCACCAAAATTTTTGTAGCAATTACCACCATGAACAGATGGAGCCTACAATAAATTGATGGGCATTTATCAGAAGAGGTTTACATGGTGGTATCACCATAGGGCTACACCAAGGCAAGAAATAGACAAGTTTGTAAATTGGTGAAGAGTTTGTATGGGCTCAAACAGGATTCCAGATAGTGTAATAAAGAACTGAGCAAGAAGTTGTCTGTCTTTGGTATGATTAAATCTCCTCATGATCACTGTCTGTTCACTATGAAGAGCGGGGATAACTTCATGGCAATATTGGTGTATGTGGATAATGTTTCATTAACAAGCAATAATGAGGAGCTGTTAGAGGATCTTAAATACTTTCTTGACAAGGAATTGACTATCAAAGACCTTGGACTTGCAAAGTACTTCTTAGGAGTTGAAACTGGAAGAAGTCAGCAAAGAACTTCCTTATCTCAGAAGAAGTATATCTTGGACATGTTGGGTGACTTGAACATGTTGGATTGTAATGATGTGATCACTCCTCTTCCTACTAGACTGAAATATCACTCAGAAGATGGAGAACCTTCACATAATCCACATCAATATAGAAGGCTTGTGGGAAACTACTCTATCTCAATCTAAGCAGGCCACATATTACATATGCTGTTGAGCAACTAAGCCAATTTGTTCATGCACCTCATTCTTCACATTGGGAAGCAACCATGCACATCCTAAAATACTGAAAGGCACAACTACTTATGGCATGATTGGTAGGAAGGAATGGCATTGGAATGGAATGATCATTCTCTTACTCATTCATTCTTTATCCCATGATTGGTATATTTTTTGGAAAGAAATGACCATTCCCATTGGAATGGCAAAACTCATCTCCATTGGATTAGTCATCTCATAGTAAATGAAAGGTTTTCTCATTCCCATGTGTGTAGGAATCAATTTTTCAAAAAATAAAATTAACAAATAATAATAAAAAATAAATGTATCATATATATTAATATATATAAATCATGATTAAAATATATTAAATAAAATTATTTAAATAAAAAATTTAAATAAAAAATTGAAAAATTACTTTTATTTATTTTTAATTAAAAAATAAAACATATATTATTAAAAATATATTACTTTTTATTTTTATATATTATTAAAATATATTATTTATTATATATTAAAAATATATTACTTTTAAGAATATATTATTTTTTACATATAATTTAAAAATATATTATTTTATTTTTATATATTATAAAAAATATATTATTTTTTATAATATTAAAAAATATATTATTTTATTTTTATATATTATTAAAAAAGCATTTATATATAACTTATTAAAAGTACATTATTTTTAAAAAAAACTTTTATTTATTTTTATAATAAAAAATGATAATGTCATTCCATTCAAATCCTATTCCTTCTGCATACCAAACGAATCAATGACAAAACTTGTTTCATTCCATTCCCATAATCATTTCATGCTTCAATTCATTCCATTCCTACGAAATTCCATTCCATTATACCAATCATGCCATTATAGACTTCTTATTCCACATAGTAACTCCTTTACTCTTATAGTTTACTGTGAGATGCAGATTGAGCATCTTATAAGGACACCAGGGGGCATTCTGTCACATGCTATTGTGTGTATTTGGGAGAATCACTCGATTCATGGAAGAGTAAGAAGCAACAAATAATGTCCCCTGAGATAGGGCAATCTCCTCAGTCTCTGAATTGGAGTGGATCACTTATATACTTGACAGCCTTTTTATATTCAGGTGCCTTTATCCTATTCCTCATTTTGGTGTGACTAGTAAAGTACATGTGCATCGCATGATTTATATTTTTATTATTTAAAATTATTATATTTTATTTATATTTATGTGGGTTATTTAATATTTGTAAAAAATTTTAAAATTATAATGCCTTTATCCTATTTGCATTATTTAATATTTTTAAATATTTTAAGAGTCCTTTCATTGTTAGATACTAATTGAATAATATAATTGCAAGAGTCCTTTCATTGAAAAAATAAATTTAGTTTTCCGGGATGGTAGTGTCGAGACTTACCTGGCCCAACGTTACGTCCGAGTGTAGCCATTTATCATATGAAGATATAAAATATAAATAAAGTTTTAAAAATTATTTACTTAAATAGAAAAGTATTATTGTCTATTTCATATAACCATATGATTAATGATTGAAAAAATTGAAGAATATATAAAATGCTTAGTTTGTTATACGTCTACATAATTATTAATATTTAAATATATCTACTATAAAACATACTTATTAAGATTAAATATATCTATAGTAATTTAAATTTAATAAAACAAAAGAGTGAAAATTAGTTATAGAGTATTCATTTTATTTTATTTACTATAAACAAAAATAAATTCATTCTTTTATTTTATTTTACCTATAGAAAGTAACTTATTTCCTTACGCCAAGAACAAATATGCCAAAACAATAAATAATTGAATGGGGTTTGAGGGAATGGTTCCCTTATAAAAAGGAAAAGGATAACCTTAGAATTTTCCATAGAATGTAAAAGAAGTAAATATACACACTTAAAAAAAGAATTTTAGTTCTTTTTGGGCTTTATAGTTAAATCATATTTTATTGGGTAATTACTTTTACTATTTTGCCATTAATAATATGTCAAACAAAGGAATAACTTAGTCCGTATATTTTTTTACAAAATCATTCCTCTAATAGTGTAATAGTGTAGTTATAGAGGTTTTAAGCTTAGGTCTAATAGTGTAATAGTGTAGTTATACAGGTTTTAACAAAACATATTTATTTGTAATAGTGATATTTATTTATCATCCACTAATTCAGCTTCCCACAGATTCTAGAATCCACAAAGTCTTTCATGTTTCTCTTCCAAAAGAATTTAGAGGGGTTGCCCTTGCTGTGGTCAACCCTTTGCCACCAGTTGTTCCCCGTGCTCAAAACCCAGTTGAATCGTGGTTTGCAGGAGGAGGTGCTCATTTTCTTTAAAGAAAAGCGGGATGCAGATGCCTATGCCTCATGGGAGCGTTTAAGAGCATTTTGTGAACTTATTCCAGATTAAGCTTGAGGACAAGCTTGATGTCCGGGAGGAGAGTAATGAGACGTTCTGGGGTCAAGCATGTGGCAGAAAAAAGGAAATCACGGCAATAAAAGGAAGAAAAAAATTAATCTACAGCATTATATTATTATTATTATATATTTTATTTGTCTGTACTGAATTAGATAGTACATTAAGAATTATTTACTTTCCTGTTTGCAATATTTTTGTTTGCTGAGTAGGTCAAGTCCTGTAATCTTCCTCTTTAGAAGGAAGTATTATATTATTATCATCAAGGGGGAGAAAACTTTTCCCAGAAAAGGGTCAGGGAGTTTTGGGCCCATTAGTAACAACCCTGTCAACAAATGTCAAATGCAAAGGTAAAAAGAGGTATGTCATGTCTTACCAGATTAAAGCGAGATATTGCCTACAATGATAATATAACAAAAAGATATGATAATAACTCAGAGAAAATAAAATAAAAGAAAATTGTTGAAACAAATTAAACAAATTGTCTGATAGTGTAATAGTGTAGTTATACAGGTTTTAAGCTTAGGTCTAATAGTGTAACTATACAGGTTTTAACAAAAACGTATTTGTTAAAACCTGTATAACTACACTATTACACTATCAGACCTAAGCTTAAAACCTGTATAACTACACTAAGTTAGATAGTACATTAAGAATCATTTACTTTCCTGTTTGCAATATTTTTGTTTGGTGAGTAGGTCAAGTCCTGTAATCTTCCACTTTAGAAGGAAGTATTATATTATCATCAAGGGGGAGAAAACTTTTCCCAGAAAAGGGTCTGTGAGTTTTGGGTCCATTAGTAACAAGTGATAGCGTGAACACTGTCAACAAATGTCAAATGCAAAGGTAAAAAGAGGTATGGCATGTCTTACCAGATTAAAACGAGATATTTCCTACAATGATAATATAAACAAAAAGATATGATAATAACTCACAAAATAAAAGAAAAGAAAATTGTTGAAACAAATTACGCAGAAGAAAAAGTAAGAAGAGAGAACCTCCCCAATGCGACCCATGGCCTGGGAATCAGATGATATGATGCTTATTGCCCCAATGTCATGCAAGATGTCTTCTGCAGCTATGGTTTCAGCACGGATTCGTGACTCGGCAAATGCAACATCCTCTCTAATATTCTTGTCAAGGTGATGGCAGACCATCTGGAATGTGTGATTTCAACCATTTCAGAACTTAGTTCCCTTCTTTTTTCTAAACTTTTTAATTACTAGTTATAACTTTGTCCCTTACAAGCATATCAAGGTGCTCATCCACAGTATTGGAGGTGTAAGGACGTGTGGGATTAGTTGAAGAGGGGAGAACATTTTTCACACCACAAACTTTGATAATATCTGGAGCATGACCACCACCTGCTCCTTCACTGCACGAAACTCAATGAAAAAAAATAAAATGCCTAGCATTCGACAACTCAGCCAAGAAGTGACCTCCAACAACTTTTTACTAGAGATAAGCCCAGAATCAAAAGGCAGAAGCTATATATACCTGTGGTAAGTATGAATAGTGCGGTCTTTAAATGATGCAATTGTATGCTCAACGAACCCAGACTCGTTTAATGTGTCGGTATGAATATAAACCTGGACAAGTCTTGATTAAGTTGATAACAGATTGACAGGTATGAAACAGGTTATATGGCGCAAGAGTAAGCGCAGGTACCTGAATGTCGTATAATTCCGCAATAGATAAACATCTATCTATTGCTGCTGGAGTAGTTCCCCAGTCCTCATGAAGTTTCAATCCCATTGCTCCAGCTTTCACTATGTCGTGTAGACCCTCTTCTTTGGAGGAATTTCCCTACAAACAACAGGGATTTGGTTTGGCACAAGCATATCCTAAGTCTCCATAAGGCTATATATTTTTGCATTTGGAATGGCAGCAATCCAGCAGATATCAAGAAATCCACCAGTGCAACGTGCAATGTGAATGAAAATGCATGTGTCTATGAAATGAAAATTCAATTTCATATAAGGGAACCTACTTTCCCTGTAAAACCAAAATTGAGAGGCAAGTCGTCTGTTGATTGCAACATTAGTTCCATATGAAATGGTGCTGGAGTGCAAGTAGTAGCACGTGTACCATCAGCTGGTCCTGTGCCACCTCCCACCATTGTAGTGATGCCTTCGTGTTATTTAAGAAAAATAGGCATAAAAGTGTGTTAAGTTGGGGAACAATTTCCTCCACGTTTTACATGGAAACTTTAACTACGCTACATTCTCCAACAGTAGTAAACATATTTACAAACGGTGTCAGATATAGCAAATAATAATAATAAAAAAAAAATAAAAAAAATAAAAAATTCAATTGCATACCTTCCCAATAGTTTGATGTTACAAGGATAAGATGATATAACTTATTATGATAATAATCAAGTGTCAGTGTGACAATTACTAAAATTGGCATCAAGAAGCATGTCTTTCTTCGAGTTTGAGATGTAAGAAAACAGAAAGTCTTCAATGGTACATGGTTGAAAGTCGGAAATATGTTTAGTACGCTGTACAATTTAATATAGAAAGGGACTAGACAAGAACCAGTGAAGCTAGGATGTCACAAGTAATCCTATTAGGAATCTAGCTTCTCTCCCCTAAATATCTCAGTTCAAGCAAAAAAATCCAAATTGGGAGACCAAACCTTTTTATTTATCAGTTAATTAAGTTGGTGTGTTAAATAAGCAACTGCATCAACTGCAATAGTAGAGTGCTTTTTCCAACTTCATACCCACAACAACACTGAAAGTGAATTAACATCTTAAAAGAGATGCATATGGTATCATTAACAAGGATCACAAAATATCCTGTTCAGTACATACAATTATTGGCCTTTAAACACATCTCTCAGCATGGAAGGTGGAAAGCTAATAAAGATGGTTAATTCTATATTTAGTAAATGAGTTAAATAAACCAACCAAATATCCTTATTCCAGTCGAAAACTCTTACGGAACCAAATAGTATATGAGTTTTGAACCTGAGACAGGCTACTAAAAATGGCAATTGGGAGCCGAAACCTGGTCGATTGTTCTTGACATTCTATAACTCAACTTGTCAAAACACACTCAGTAAACGGGCACGCCTCTACCCTATGCACCAAAAATACTTGTACATAATACATTTCGCAGACCATTGAAGAGTGAACCCAACCATGTAATGTTTTACCAAAGTATTTCATCTTGCTCAAATTACGTTTGCATACAGACAAAGCGGATCCGACAAAAAACAAGCACTTGTACTCTTGCATCAAAATTTTATAAGGTATTGTTCTAAAAGTCTCACCACTAGTCAATGCCTCATAAGCCAGTTGAGGACATATAAAATGCACGTGACAATCTATAGCTCCTGCCGTAACAATCATTCCTTCTCCAGCGATAACCTCAGTATTTACCTGACAAAAAAATATCAATGGAACTATAACTCCTGGTTGATAAATAAACGAGAAAAAACAAATCTATAAGTTCTGATACCCAAACTCACTCCTATAATCATGTTGAGTGCATCCATGACATCGGGGTTGCCTGCTTTCCCAATAGAAAAAATATTACCATGTTTTATGCCTATATCAGCTTTATAAATTCCTGTGTAATCAATTATCACAGCATTTGTAATTACAGTGTCCACGCAATCAAGTGAGTCAAATCCAGAACCCTGCCCCATTCCATCCCTCAGAACTTTTCCACCACCAAATACGCACTCATCCCCATACACAGCATAATCTCTTTCAATTTCCGCAAGTAAATCAGTGTCCCCTAGCCGAATTTTATCACCAGTGGTTGGACCGTACATATTAGCATAGCTTTCATGAGTCATTGAAAAGGAAAGGGGAGATCCTTCTTCAACAACAAACTCCCTGTTCGATCGATTCAAAAGAAAGAACCAATGGCATTCATAACAAAAATCAGAGTTTGTGCAACTTAATCAAATTAAACTCAAATTTCAATTTCACGGCAAAGAGGGATATGCCTGACCTAGCATTTGCTTCTTCTAAAAAACCATATCCTCTTTCATGCACAGCCTGCATCACTACTGGGATTCTAGCATCATCTACCACACCATCAGCAATATTATTTCCACCCCTTATAACTCGATCACCTCCAATATGCACAAGTGTAACACTTTTTGTCTCTCCGGGCTGTGAAAGCAGGAGAAGTTCTAGGGCACTCAGTTTCAAGATTGAAGAAAATTAAGGTGTCTTATTTCCTAAATATAACACATTTTAACATGTAACTCTACCATTAATCACAATCAAAAAGTTCTTAAGCTGATTACATTTGCCATTTTGACTTTCTCCTCTAAGTAAATGCATCAGATCAATTTAATGCATGTATAGAAAGTTTTCAGTTCTACCCTGCACTGCAATTTGAAATGCCTTTATTGCATTTTACGCTTTTGCGAACGATGCACTTTAATTGAAACAACATGCAACATACTTTAGCAATCTATATATATTCAATATATCTGCTACTATCTTAAAAGGACAAATATTTCTGTCAAAATTTTGGACAGAGAAAATTACCCCTAAAATGTGCAACTTGAAAAGGTTAAATCGTAATTTTAGACATAGTTGTGGGTTGTAGTAAGACCCTTGGGTAAATACTCTCTTTCCCCACTGTGTAAGAACTGAGGAAGCATAGTTACAACCCTCCAGTGATGTTTATGTTACCTTATGTTTATTTTTCTGACTATTAGGAAGTGTAGTTATTTTATGATTTTTGTTTCAAAAATGAACAAAATGTTTTTTACTTACTATATTACGATGTTGAGTATTTTTCCATTAGTATATTATGACATTGGCAATCTCCGAACTGGTGCATATATAAATACCATGATTATGTGGATGAGGATTGATGCATTTTGAAGTTCTGGTTTAAAATTAATATTCAAAGGGAAAAGAAATCTATACATTTTGTAACTAACTATATACCATGCTTATGTGATTGAAATTGAATGTATCCTGATTTGTGGTTTAAAATTAATGGTATTGAAAATGAATATTAGAGGTAACTAAAAGTTTACCTGACTCAAAAGGCTAGGATTATAGACCCAGTAATAAGTATACATTACATTCCCAGTAATAAGTATACATTACATTCATTTGTATATTATTCTTTCCCAAGTAAGATGAGTACTTGGCAATAGTTGAAACAAGTATTTAAAAATTTTCGATAACCAATTTTGAAATTATACAGTCTTTTAAACTTTATTCATAAATACTTTTGAAGTAAATTATGAAATTTGATTTCTTTGTATGGGGATGAAAAAAGAAATTGTTTGTTCACATTATTTGGTTTCAAAAAAATTAACCAAGAGTATGGAGGAGAACAAAGATTGTGTGTTCATATTAAAGAGTTTGAATTTTTTACTGAGAATGAAGTCGAGGGGAGGAAAAAATTTAACTTGATTAAAGTTGCAAAGATATGATAATTAATTTGATGAAATACCTTCAGAATTTTTGCAATTATGATGATACTAGGTATCATCAATGTGACTTTAAACATATCTCAATTTGAAATATTAGTTAAAAATAATTCAATCATTGATAATGTTTTTAAAATATTGTGGAAGGATGCTCACAATAGAAGTTCAAAGTTCTCACTATGCTCAACAAAAAGTACAAGTAGCTGATAATATAAGTAAAATGTTGTGGAAGTATGCTAGCAAACAATAGAAATTTCAAAATTGCTCAACAAAATGCACAAGTAGTTGATGATTAACTCGTATGTTATTTAATATTTAATGTAATACACAGTAGGTATTCGCCATGAAAACAATGAATGAAAAAGATGTAACTAACAATCTTTATGAAAGAGTGGTATCAATAATATGAGAAGATGACAGTAACCAAAATTAAAAGCAATTGACAGTAACCAAAATTTCGATGATCTCTAAATTTCATGTAGCAACAGCGATACTCTCTAAATAAATTAAGTGAAACATACAAAGGGAGACATTTAAGTACAAGAAAATGAAATTATATATAATACGCAGCAAGAATTTGTAATCAGCATCAGATAAAACTAATGCCACTCCTCGATGATATCAAAAGGTCGTGTTACATTCGTCCAATGCGTTGGAAACGGTGGAATTTTATTTTTTCCAAGCTTACAAAGATGCAATCAAAATGAATAACATTAAGAGATGGAGGGCTCTTATTCCCAGGTGATTGGTCGGAAAAAGTGTGTATTTTATATATTTATTAGCGTATTTTTATATGCTTAATTTTTATCGCACTTATATGTTTTCCGATTTATTTATTTATTAGATGGATTCTAGTGCTTTGATATTTTTATGTCATATTTTTAGGATATTGGAGTATTTTACATGGACGACGAGACGGGCCAAAGAATTACTAGTGAGTTGGGCTAAGGCTAAGTGATTAAGGCCCAATGTTGGGTTAATTGGCCCAAGAAGGAGTTAATTAGCATGGGCTGGATATTTGGCAAAGAAATACACATGGGATATAATTAAAAAAAAAAAGGAAAAAAGAAAATCGTGACAAGCAGGGGGAGGAAACATGAGTAGAAAGGATTTATTTGAGGGTGGAATTATTTATTTCACGCCCCACACATAAAATAGGAGCGGATATATTGGCGCAAGTCGTAGCAGCCGCAATATCGGAGCACACGCAAAAAGAAAAAGCCGCCACGCTTCAGCAACAGAGACGGGAATAAGACGCAGACAGAGGAAAAGTACGAGGAGCCCGATCAATCGCGGAGGGAGGCCGCACCCGTACACGAAGGAGATAATTAATCTCTCTCTTTTATCTATTATTTCTTTTTATTTATTATGTTAGGCTAGGTTTTTATTTCTAGTTCCGGTGATGTTGAACCTTACGACTTGACGATGTCTTGATTAATTTACGTGGTTGATAATTTTAATATCTTTTTGGAATTGTTTGTGTTATTTTGAATAATTCACCATGATGTGTTAGTCTTGTTTAGATTGATCACCTAGATTAGGCTTTTCATATCTACATCTGAATTAGACCTGCAATCCGTAATTGTTGTTGTGTTTAATTCATAAGAGGTAACCGGAAGATAGTAACTACCGGGAATAACACGGCCTAATTAAGCGAACGAACGCGGTTGAGTTCACTACTTAGTCTAGCCTATTTTTCTAATTCGTAAAGCAGCTAATTGTATTAAATCTTGAAAACGTTTTTCCGGACTGTACAAGAAGTCAGGTTTAATCGTCGAGCGTCTCACGGTTAAATTAAAAATAAGGAAAAATTCGGGTAACAGACCGTGTCGTTACCTAGGGCTAGTAATTCCATGAGATAGCGAGATTTGATATTAAAATTGATTAGACGAGTCAGTCGAGGGTGTAGACGGAACCGTGAACTAGAAACTTCTCTTTATTTATTCTATTTTATTTTTATTTCCTTTGTTTATTAGGATTTTTAATAAGTTTAGTTTTTAAACCAATCCCCCCTCTTTTATTGCTTTTATAATTCAATTAATACGAGAAAATTCACGATTTGATTCACACTCCCTNCTTGGATATTATGAAAAATAGATAGGAAAAAGACGTCCAACATTAGGTCCTGCAAAACCACCAAACCACCAGACTTTTGAAAAATTTACTCGACAGTCATTCTCAACCAATTAACCAACTGATATGAGACTACCGCTGAGACTACGAGAGAGAACATTGTTTATAGATGAAGAAATATCGTTAGTTGCTATGATACGTAACTAGATTTCCATTGGAGGTATGTATTTTTTGACTCCCAGAATTCTTTTATATTCAAGAGGGATTAGGCATTGTTGGTCATATGGTTAGAAACTCTGAATAAAAATTTTACAGTGAAGATGTAATCGCCAAAGCAAAGGATGCAAAAATAATCATTTATGGGACCATCTCAGGTGTCAAATTAAGAGTATTTTGTTGGACAGGTCCTATAGAAATGCTAGGAGTAGAAGACCAAATTGCAGTTGCAAAAGTTGTTGCATTTCACTTGGGTGGTCTAACCGGGCAAACCTTTAATAATATGTCCATCACTCTTGCAATTTGCAAATTCATTTCGACAATTTGAAGCATAAGGCCTCAATTCCTTTAAGTAGAAACATTAAACATCTTGTAAGTCAGGACTTTTTTGTTTACTTTGCACATCATATATGACAGAATCCGGGATGCTTTATAGTTTGCAACCAAGAATTGTATAGAAGGCGCTTCTCTTCACGTAGCAGATCACTACGATAAGTATCCAATGATGGTATAAGATCTTTGTGCATGATACTAGATTGAACACCTTCAAATTATGATCTTAATTTCATAAGAAATTGATCTTGTTTAGTGGTTTCATGAATTATATGCATGGAACTTAGTCATTCAGAAGTTAAACTTGCACACAGTATCACAGAAATTCATGAATTGAGAATAAAAATTTGAGACTGAGAGATTATCGGGTTTGAAGATGGCTATTCCTGGTCAATGTGAAATCACCGAGTAGAATTATTGTCTATAGACTTTTTTCACATGGCCCCACATTGTTGTTGCAGTTCTGTAAGGCAAAAGATTGCAGACATTGGTGTGGATCTGTTAAGTATATCAAAGCCCAACTTATACAGCCAATATAGTTGTTGATCTGTATATATGGCTATTCACATCAAAGACACGCACATTCAGAAACCCAGGTTTGTAACATGGTATCTCAGCCACACAAATAGAGTAACATTCGGATCTCACCTCCCACACCAATAGCCTCGCCTCCCTTGAATCGACCTTCCGGTCATTTTTGTGGCCGGAGTTTGAGCATGTGGGTCCCACATGCCACATTATTGATGAGCCATCAACCTATCAGGAAGCTTCGAGTATTCCGGAGTGGCAACTAGCTATGTCAGAGGAACTTGCTACACTTAATCGTACTGGCACTTGGGATCTTGTTCCGTTACCATCGCATGCCGTGCCTATCACCTCTAAGTGGGTCTTTGAGATTAAGACCAAGTCGGATGGCTCCATTGAAAGATATAAAGCTCGTCTTGTTGCTAGAGGCTTTCAGCAGACGGGCGAGATTATGATGAGACTTTTGCTCCCGTTGCTCACATGACGACTGTTCGTACTTTGATTGCAGTGGCTGCTACTCGTTGTTGGACCATATCTCATATGGATGTGAAGAATGCTTTCCTTCATGGTGATCTGCATGAGGAAGTTTATATGCGGCCACCAACGGGTGTTGATGCCCCCTCTGGACATGTTTGTCGTCTTCGTCGCGCATTATATGGTCTCAAACAGGCTCATCGTGCTTGGTTTGAGACCGTTTTGTTTCTGTCATACGGGCTGCTGGTTTCTCCCCTAGTGATCATGATCCTGCTTTGTTTATTCATCTCTCTCCACGTGGCGTACTCGAATTCTTCTATATGTTGATGATATGTTGATTACGGTAGATGAGGCAGAACATATTTCTCATGTCAAGAAGCAACTTGGTCAACAATTTCAAATGTTCGATTTGGGTCCTCTTAGCTACTTTTTGGGCATTGAGGTGATGCATTTTGCCTCGGGCTATTACATTTCTCAATCCAAATACATACAAGACCTTCTTGTTCGTTCCGGTATTACTGATAATCGTACAGCGGTTACGCCTATGGATCTTCACTTATAGCTTCGTCCTAGTGATGCTACATCTCTTGAGGATCCCTCTCGCTATCGACATATTATAGGTAGTCTCGTTTACGTTACTGTTACTAGGCCTGACATTGCTCGTACTTCGGTTCATTTTGGGCATTTGCTTCGCGTGCTACGATACTTAAAGGGAACATCATCTCAGTGTTTATTATAAGCCCGTGATAGTCCGCTTCAGCTTCATGCTTACTCGGATTCTACTTGGGCAAGAAATCCAACTGATCGTCATTCTGTCACTGGTTATTACATTTTTCTTGGTTCTTCTCCCCTTACATGGAAGTCCAAGAAACAGGCAGTTGTATCTCGATCTAGCATAGAGGCAGAACTTCGAGCACTTGCTACTACCACCTCAGAAATTAGATGGCTTCGGTGGTTGTTAGCTAATTTTAGTATTTCATGTGATGATCCTACGCCTCTTCTTTGTGATAATACTGGAGCAATCCAAATTGTCAATGATCCAGTAAAGCATGAACTTACAAAACACATTGGTGTTGATGATTCCTTTACCGGATCTCACTGTCATCAGAAAACAATTGTTCTTCAGTATGTGCCGCAGAACTGAAAGTGGCTGATTTTTTCACCAAAGCACAAACCAGAGAGCAACATCGGCTTCATTTGCTCAAACTCAATGCATCGGTTCCTCCACCTCCACCTTGAGTTTAAAGGGGGGTGTTAACTATTATAGGCCTAGCCCATATATACTTATGCCCGAAGACTATATATATGGGCATCCTCACTTGTGATTCATTCATTCGTCCAGAAACCCTAAGGTTTGTAACAGGAACAACCTACGGCCATCCTAACGCACCGGCGCGTGGCATGCCGGATTTTTTTTTGCCAACTTCCGTCTACTCGGAACCTTCCGGCATTCTCAGATTTTTCATTCGGGGAGGTTTTGGTGTCCGTTTTGTTCTTTTTCATATCCGTCTCTTGTCGGGGTTAGGGTTCGTAAATTCTAATCCGTCCTGGCACTCGTCAATTACTTTTTTTGTCATCACACCTGTAGCGGTCATACGCTACCTGTCGCAGCACCTTCATTCATATTTCACCGCGCCTCGTCATTATATGTTTCATATGTCGTTCGTGTACCATCCACATATCGTGAAGGCATACATGTCGTTCATACGAAGTTGAATCATTTTGCAATTTAATGCAATTGCTATCAATATCACTTTTGATGGTCAGAATTATCGAGAGTGAGCTTTTTTTGTTTAAACTGTTTATGGTCTGGCTTTCCACTTAACTAAGGATGCACACGAACGAATGGTTGATAATAGTAATGCTACTGGATGAATGATTGAAAAGTGATGGTTGTCATCGTCAACCGTGTCAAGCAGTCCATGATTATGAGCCTTTCCACTTTTTGGACAACCAACAACGCTACGTTCAAGATAGTAATACACTTCTGCACACTCTTTTATGATTCTGTTGATTCTGATGTGACACACGCTATTCCTGAAGAGTCTCACGTGATCGTGTTATTATTGAGCCTCCTTGGTTATTCCACGTGCCAGTGCTATTGTTGATGAACCATCCAATTATCAAGAAGCTTCGCGCATTGCAGAGTAGCAATTTCAAATGTCCGATTTGGATCCTCTTAGCTACTTCTTGGACTTTAAGGCGATGGACTCTAACTCAAACTATTACCTTTCCCCAATCCAAATACATACAAAATCTTTTTGTTTGTTCTGGTATTTCTATTTATCGGACAACGACTTCACCTATGAATCTTCACTTGCAACTTTTATCCACTGCCTCTTGAGGATCCTTCTCGATATCAGCATATTGAGGGCAGTTAGGTTTATCTAACTATTACCAAGCCTGTCGTTGCTCATGTTGTTCATGTATTGAGTGAGTTAGTTTGTGAGTTTGTGAGTGCTCCTACTTCAGTTCATTTTGGACATTTGCTTCGTGTGTTACGGTACTTAAAGGGAACACCATCTCAATGTTTATTTTATGCTCATGATAGTCTGCTTCAGCTTCATACTTACTGGTGGGACTCTACTTGGGCAAGTAATCCAACATATAGTCATTATTTATGATATTGGTTAGTGCATTTTTCTTAGTTCTTCTCCTCTTACATTGAAGTACAAAAAGCAGGCAATTGTAACGGATTATATGGCTTTGATGGTTGTTAGCTGATTTTGTGGTATATCATGTGATGCTCCTACACCTCTTCTTTGCGGTAATACTGGAGCCATACAAATTGCTAATGATCCATGAACTTAAAAAATATATTGGTGTTGATACGTCCTTTACTCAACCTCATTGTCATCAGAATATATGCCCTTGCCCTAGAACTGTAGTAGATTTCTTCACCAAAGCACAATCTAGAGACAACATCGACTTCACTTGTTCAAACTCAATGCTTCGGACCCTCCACCTTGAGTTTGGGGGATGTTGAGGATATCAACGCCTATATATCACAGGCCATATAACGGTCTATATAGCTCATCTATTCACATCAAAGGACACACATTAAAAAACGCTATGTTTGTAACATGGTATCACAGCCACACAAATAGGATAACATTCGGATCTCACAACCATCCAACCAACCATCCCGTTGGAGATTTCTTATATATATACAACTCAGATACATTCTAATATGCTTACTAATTAAGCTAAACTACTTACAACCTCATTTTCAGCCCACTAAATATAACGTAACTGTCATTGGACCAAATTTTAGCCCATTAAATACAATGTAATGTAACTGACATTTGAAAACTTAAAATTACCTTGACTGATGTAATAGATTTCTGGGAGGCACCGAATTAGATAAGTTAAAACTGATTAGGATAAGAGAAAAAAGGATCACGTCAATAGACCATATCACTAGCCAAGCATAGTACCTTTTTTCACGTAAGTTAATATTAATGTCACATGATGATCAGGAACAAAGTTCCGGTTGAAAACAACCAAACACAAAATAATTTTGACTTCTCTATGAATGATAGTCCTATGAGATAACAATAATTATTAGAACATAAGTTATTCATAGTACAGTTAGTAAAGTTAAGTACAAAGTTTGATGCTTCAGTAAGGCAATCCAACTGTGTGCTAGCACACACAAAAGTTCAAAGAATAACGGCACAAGCATAATAATACTCTCAAGCATTATACTAAGACATGAAAACAATTATCATATATGCAATCAATTATAAAGAAACATATAGCAAAATTGAAACCTCAAAACGAATAGCAGTTCCTGCAGGGATATTTAGGCGCATGCCATATGCTTTTCTCCTATCAAAAACCATGTACGGATTGACTTCAATGAAGTGATAATGACTTCCAACCTGGAGAGGTCAAAATATAAGAAAGATTTTAGCATATGCACGCAGTCACTAGTCAGTTTCAAATAATTTACTATCACATAGCTAATTTTATTATGTATTATTGAATATAGTACAATTCTCCGAAGTCACAAAGATTAAATAGATACTATTGCTCTTAACTATAGTGATTCATATGAAACGATAATGTTGGTGCATGGCGCAAAAGCAGGTCCAGATCCAAAGTTCATAGCCAAATCGGACACTGAGCATGTCCTGAATAACTAACTGCATTATGTTCATGGTCCATCCATCATTATCACCAAAAATGTTCGTGGTCCATCATTATCACCAAAAAGAAATATGAAGATCTTAACAATATGCCTGGAATATATACTTCACTGGATCCGCAGGGGGAGACATGTTGATAACTGAATTATATTACACATTCAGCTGCAAGAAATAGAAATATGATGTTTTCATAATTCAACTACCTGAATAGGTCTGTCACCAGTGTTAGCCACTTTGAGAACTACACCTTTCCTTCCTAAGTTGATTGTAATACGTCCTGGTCCAAATATTAGTTCACCAGGAATTTTACAACCTTCAAGGTCTGGAAACTTATCTAGAGATGGAACTGCAGGAAAAGAAACACCCTCCTTAAGAACAATTCATTCACAAGAGTTCTTTCTCAAATCCCTCATAGGGAAGGGAACAAAAATGTAAAAACAAAAAACTGGATGTTCATTAGACTTCCATGTCTAATTCGGCTAAACGGCTAAACGGCCAGGGCCAAACAAAGACTTAATTTATCAGAGTTTTTAATGTTCCAAATTTAAATGCAAATATTTGAATTTAAACATATTTCAAATATGTTTACATAATTATTTAAATTAAATTACTAAAACGAAAAAATAAAAAGTTACTTAAGTTAATGCTGACGTAGATAATAGATTACATGTTTCTTTTATATACCAAAAAGGAAATTAGTTCTATTATTTTTTTAATTTAGAAACAAAATTTAGTATGACAACAAATTTTAAAAATAAATAAGTTGTTGCGTATTACATAGCGACAAAAAATACATAAAACTATTTTTTTCCTATAATAAGAAATAAATATGGGTATCAAAATCTTATTATATTAATCTAAAAGGGCCAGCACCAGCAGGCTAACCAATTAGCCTGCGGGCTAGCCCTAATGGGCTCGGGCTAAACAGTTCGGGTCGAGCAACCCCAATTAACGAGGCCGGGAATAGAGAATCCAACCATATTTAGCCCATGTAACATCTCTAGCCTATGGTTACCAAACTGCAGCAATTAGCATCAGTTTTGTACAATGAACCATATGAGATGCAGAACATGGCATGATAATATAATATATTGTAAAACAAAACCGCATCATGGTCCACATGAATGACCGAGTTGCAAAGTAAGAGATTATGCAAGTACTAGGAGTTGTTTTTTGCAAAATAAGATCCACCTTTAGTTATACCTTAGGCCAAAATGAGTCCTTATTCTTATTCACAACTTGGGAAGAGTTTATGGAAATTTACTTTGAAACGGATCAATCCTATTAAAACCAATATTGCAATTTCTCCCAAGAAAATTATTTTGAAATCTGATTTTATGCATCAACTTTTATTTTGATGTTTAAGTCTTTTGCTTTTGGTAATTAGCTAGTTTCTTCATGTAAAAGTTTAGTTTTAATTGGGACAAAATCAGCTAGTTTCTTCAAGTAAATGTTTTGTTATAATTGGGACTACCTTTGCATAGTACAAATGTCTTATTGATAGCTTAAGGTTCATATAGAATGCAACTGTTTCAACTTAGTTAACCAATTATATAATCCTTAAGAAGCCAAAGTTGACCCATATGAATCCCACTTTTGATGCTTCCTGTACAAAACCCTATAATGTTGAGGCCAGAATTAAGAAAACAAGTTGTAGCTGAACTAAAAATAGAACAGGTTATCTAGAAAAATATTAAAATACCTGGAAGGAAAGACCCATGTAAAGCTAGCTCCAGATTTCCATTTTCACTTGATATAGGATCATGGATTGTTATCAACTTTGTCCCATCTGGAAAGGTCCCCTCAACCTATTTGTAGATCAAAACCCAATATTACCAAAACATCCTTGTTTCTTATCATTAACTTAATAGATTATTTCATCCAATACCTGAACTGAATCCATGAGATAAGGAACAGATGGAAGAACTTGTCTCCTGTAAACACAAGATATCCATTTATGCAATACATTGGAATCAGTAATCACCTAGTGGTTACTAAGAAAAGAATCACACGAACCAATCAATCACTCGTGAAACCCACACAAAATTAACAATAAGTAGTGGTTCCATAAAAATAAGTCTTGTCTTCTAGCACTCAAGAGATGCTGCATGCTATAGGTTCTAACACTCGAAATTTCGTAATTCTAGGTGTTTTCTCGTTGATTAAACTAAAATTACACTATTTCTCAGAAAATCGTATTCCCTCACTGTAATTTAACTTTTTGCGATGTGAAAAACAACATTGACTGTAAATGTGTCGCCACTTCCGTTAAACATTGGTACAAGAACCCAAAAGATTCGAGCAAGTGAAAAATAATATATTTGTCTTCTGCAACATCGGGTTAACTTTAAGGTCGTGCAGATCTTAGCTTTACCAAGAACGTCACTCACATTTTCTTTTCTTCAATTATCTCTCCACGTATAAAAGCTCAGAAGGTGCCAATTCTAACATCATTAATCATAGATCACATTTTGAAGTTCCATTTGTACATGAAGTTCAAATCATCTCTGCAGTTCCACAGAAACATCAAAATTAATTTTAAAATGTTGAATTTAAATGCTTATTTTACACATTACCTTCCCAAAATTTGTCGCCCAAGATCCATAAGTTCAGCCACACTTTTATTCCCATCACGGACCAATTCCAATATCTGTAACAGCCCAAGATCATGAATTGGAAATATAGAAATATAGAAAGAGACAACTGGAAACCAAAACAATACACTCGCAGACGCATACACACGTGTAAGTATAAATGAAACAACCTGAATCTCTAAGAATGCAAAAACTCACTACAAAAAAACATAAAGGAAAAAAAAATATGAACCAAGCACCTAAAGCGAATTATCGAAAATACTTCACGAGTTAAAGAAAAATTCGTTACCTGTACGGCTATAAGAGCAACAGCTTCAGCGTGATTAAGCCTCAACCCACGCGCCAAACGTTTCTGTGCCAAAGCTCCAGCGCTGTGGAGCATCAGTTTATCAGTTTCTCTAGGCGCCAACTTCATTGCTGTATGTTCTGTCCTAATTTCCAAGCGAAGTCTAACAGCAATTTCACACTTGCAAAATTCGATTCAGATTGAGCAGGTTAACTACGTTTTCCAAGTCAATGTAGGTATCAGATAATGGCAATTGGCAACTCCAATCTATTCAAATAATGCTTTGGTCTAGTTTTACGTGACATTAAGTCTTGAATCATTTATTTATATAAAAAAAAACAAAAATATGTGGAAAAAAATAAATAAATAAATAAAATGTGGAAAAAAGTAAAACAGCCGGATTCTGAAAATCCGTTTTTCCCTAAAAAACGGATTTTCAGAATCCGTTTTTACTTAATCCCGAAAGAAAAAACGGATTTTGATAATCCGTTTTTCGTTAATTAAGTGAGTTTTTATTTAATTAAGTGATTAACCTTAATTAAATCCGAGTTTGTTTTAAAAACGGATTTTCGCAATCCGTTTTTGTTATTTGATTTTTTTTTTTTAAGAAAAACGGATTCTTAGAATCCGTTTTTATGTATTTTTTTTTTTTTAATTTTTTTAAGGCTCGATTATGTTCACGAACTCGTTTATCAGCGATCGCGTTGCGTTTATTTTAACTGAATTTTTTATTCTTATCCTTCAATATTAAGATTTTTTATAAATTTCAATTTAACATTTTGAACAAGAAATAATATCATTTTAATATCAATTCATTCGTCAAATGATAAAATCTAACATGCATACATATATGAAACACTATATAGAAAAAGACAACCATAAGTACCGACAAAAAAAAAGTGAACCACAAAATATATACCCAAAACCATCAAAAATAAATATCTGTAAATCCAATACAAAAATAAAAAATAAAAAAAAATATGTCCACAAAATCACAGAATACAAAAACAAACTAACTAGGAGTAAATGGTTTCCTAGCCTTGCGGTTTCGGGACCCTCTCCGAGACCCCAGTTACAAAGAAGACGATCCTGCGGTCGGTCCAGGCGTGGTTGGTTCTTCTTCTTCTTGTCCATCTAATTAATTAATTTTTGTAAAAAATCAATAATTCGACCGGACAAATAAATAAAAAGAAACAAAAAAAATATATATATTTGTAGTTAAATAAAAAAATCTCACCTTCTTCGTGGTCACGGCATCTTCTCCCTCCACCAATGTGGGGCGCCGGTCTATGCCTCGCCCGCTGAGAATGTGTATGCTGGGGTGGGGCGTACTCATCTTGAGATAGAATTTGCTCCGACGACGCCCCTTGTGTGACCGACTGACCCCCAACAGTCAGAGAAGCGTACAGAAGTTCCTGGGCTTGCTGGAACTGTGACTGCGCTCGGGGAGGTAGCGTATCAATATCTTCAATGTTCGTTAGCATGTTATACGCCACCTCCGTACCCGAAAACTGCAAAATTAAATTCAAATAACTATCAAATATTAAAAATAATAATAATAATAATAATAATTACTTCATTGAAGACAGTTACCTGACACTTCTCCCGGTCGGCATATGGCTGAAACCCGCCGTCCTGTGAGATCGCCGCGTAGTTGTTGGGGTCATTGAATAGTCTCACAGTCCTACTGTGAAACCAATCAATGTACCCATCTGCCGGCTGCAGGAAGGGATCCACCGGGACATCTTGGAGGACGTTCTGATCTCTCTCTTCGGTCCAGATCCTCCCAAGATCAGCATGGAAGGCCTGCCAATCGGTGTATGCCCTCCCAGTCATGCCCTAGCCCTTGTGGCGGGTGTCCCAGTCGGCTAGACTAGTAATGAGCGGCTGTTGGGGGACGGGCTGGTGGCACCGAAACTGGCGGAGCACCCTATCAGTCTCGTGGGGTTCTGCGATGTTCCAGCAGAAGATCCACCCCTTGTACATCCAGAGATGTCGGTCTCGTGTGCACACTTCCGGGAGCCGACCCTCGTCTATGTACGTCTGATAGGGTACCCAATCGAACTGTGAAAAAAAATATTTATAGAATTATTAATAAATTTAATACAAAAATAGAATTAAAAAAATAATAATAATTTATTATTATGACCTAAGAAACTTACATCAGTCTCTCTCAGGCCACTCAGCTGATCTCGGATGGCAGCCGTGCCCGTCACCAGGTGTCTCATGTCCCTAGATCCCACCCACCTTAAAAATCACAGAAAAAGTTTTATTTGTAATTACAAATTTTGATAATTGAAATAACTTAAGTGTTGAATATAAATAAATGTTATTATTACCTTGCACCCAAGGGACAACCCGCCTGAGAGCCGAAATGTGTTCTTGTCATTAATGGGCGAACACGAGGGATGCGTTCCCATGCCCAAACCTGCACATATGGACATATACATTTTTTAGCACATATTATTGTAATTTACAATAAATAAAATTAATTTTCAATTAACAAGTAAATAAATTTACCTGAATCAACTGCACGCAGCTCTTGATATATTTTTCTCGCGTCTCGTAGGCGTCGCAGAGCGCTCTATATACCCCGGCCAGAAGCGCTCCACCCCAGCTGTACCCCGGAATAGCATCGATGTCATTCAACAGGGACAGCCAGTAGAGGTTGACTCCGTTGGCCCGATGGTCGGGGAAGAAGAAGGACCCAATACACCAGAGTATCAGAGCTCGCGCCCTCTTCTCGTACTCTGATGTAGGGAGTCCATCCTCCAGAGGGCGCTTGCACTCCTCTTCCAGATTACTGAAATACAGGCACTGGCCATTTATGTCCCAAGTCTTGGAGTCGTAGTCCTGGACCCCGTCATCCTTGAAGTACATTTTTATCGTTAAAAGCGACCCATGAATTAAGTATATAAACATAATAATAAAAAAAATTAAAATAAACAAATAAAAGTTTTAGGTAAAAATATACCTGTACGTATGGGAGGTACCCTAGAGCGTCCAGGCAATGACCTCTCCACTCTTGGGGAGTCCGATGTACGGTCTGTCCCCAGCACGCCTCCCCGCTGACGGGGAGGCCAAAGAGTATCTGAACGTCCTGGAGAGTGATCGTGGCCTCCCCGAAGTCGAAGTGGAAGGTGTGCGTCTCTGGACGCCACCTCTCCAGCAGGCATGTAATGAGGGGATTGTTTGTCGGGACCCGCCCCATCCGAAATAAAGGCCCGAATCCGGCCTTGTCGATCGCCTCCCATGTCCGGGCATTCTGCTTGTTGTCCTCCAAGGCAGCCCAGAACTGGGTGTCCGAACGGCGTGGCTTAACCACGCCGTGGCGAAACCCCGGTGCGTCCTCATATACCGCCTTGGATCAGTGGCGGTTCTGAAGATATAGAAGTGACGGGTCACTGGGGCCGGGGTGTGGGGTGTAGGGTTGAGGGTTCGAGGATGACGAAGTCATTTTCTGCAAAAATGACCGAGATTGTAATATATGTTAATTTTGAATTGACCGAGATTTATATATTATTTAATAAATATTATTCAATTAAGGAAATAATTACGCAGATCGTGTAATTCAATTGATTTATTCAATTATAATTTCTTATGCTTGTGCTGTATATTGGTTTGTTGAGTACAGCGTAGCTGTTTTAATTATTCACGAATTTCCCACATGTTCAGTTTAAATTATGCTTTTGTTGCATATTGGTTTATTGAGTACAGCGTAGCTGTTTTAATTATTCACATATTTCCCACATGTTCAGTTTAAATTATGCTTTTGTTGCATATTGGTTTGTTGAGTACAGCGTAGCTGTTTTAATTATTCACGAATTTCCCACATGTACAGTTTGAATTATGCTTTTGTTGCATATTGGTTTGTTGAGTACAGCATAGTTTATTTATCATATAAATAAATAAAATTAGTCATTAATCCTTGATTTCAAATTATTCACCAATATTTACAAACGAGCAAAATATTCACAATCGAGCATACTATTCACTATCAACAATATCCACCAATATTTACAAAACGAGCACAATATTCACAATCGAGCATAATATTCACTATCAACAATATCCACCAATATTTACAAACGAGCAAAATATTCACAATCGAGCATACTATTCACTATCAACAATATCCACCAATATTTACAAACGAGCACAATATTCACAATCGAGCATAATATTCACTATCAACAATATCCACCATCAATTAAGGAAACGAGCACAATATCCACAATCGATCGAGCACAATATTCACAATCGATTATGCACAATTAACATATCTAACTAAATCGAGTTCGATTAATACGGCAAATTAAAATTCAACACGGTAAATACATCGAAAAATTAAAAATTTAGAGAGGGCTGAGCCTCGGTACCGTTCTCGGGATCACGTTCGAAAAATGGGACGGACGAGTCGGAAGGGCCCGACGGCGGCGGAGGAGAGGGCAGCGGCGGCGGCGGAGGAGAGGGCGGCGGAGAGAGCAGCGGCGGCGGCGGTCTGAGGAGGAGAGGGCAACGGCGGC